GGAAAGTAGCCTCTAGCCGGTTCAGAGAAGAAAGAGTATAGGTCCTATAGGGAACAGGATAGAGCAGAAGAGCTGTACTTGTCCTTCGCTGGACAAGAGCGATGGACAAGAGTGTGTGGCAACCGTACTTCACCTTGTGCGTGATTGGTGTCATGCTCGTGTTACTACTGTTGGAAGCGTCGGAGCCGTATCTAGTCCTGATGGGTGCGTTAGTGACGTTCCTGGTAGTAGACATCCTGCAGGTCGACGAGGCTTTGGAAGGATTTTCTGATCCGGCGATGCTGGTTATCGCTGTCCTCCTTGTTGTTGCAAAAGGCAAGTGTACTGGGAGTGACTGGGGCTATCGTCTGCAATTCGTGATTGGACTCTTCCGCTCCTTTTTCCTTCTGCGGCTTTCTCTCGTTCTCCCAAAGCTCTTCCCCTCGTGCCCCGCTTTCTCGACCAATCCGTCCCCATCCTCTTCTCCCGCACTATCATCTTCCTCCTGGGAATGCCCTTGTCCCCCGTGGCCTCCTCTTTTCTCCCTCTATCTATTCCTATCTGTCTCCTCCTTCCTTTCCGCACTCTCTTTCCCCTCGACCTGCACCTTCACCCCTCTTCCTCTTTGCCTCTCCCTCCGCCCTCTCCGTCCCTTTCCTCTTAATCCCTCCTCTTGTTGTCCTAGTCGATTCTCTTCCCCTTCTTCTTTCCTTCTCCCCTTCTTCTCCCGTTCTTCCGCCTTTCTCCCTCTTCCCTCTCTCTGTGTGTGCTGTTTCTCGTATTATATTTAGCTTCTACCGTCGTCCTCGGTGATGTTTCTCGTCTTGGTGTGCATATATACATGCATATGTACATGTAGGCATGCATATGTGTACGTATATAGAATATGTTGCAGCCCTGCGGTATCGATCATCTTGAGCGACCACTCTTCTCCCCCCCCCCCCCCCCTTGCCCCCACCTCTTCTTCGTCCCGTGCCCTCCGTCTGGGCCTCCGTTCATCTTGAGCGACCACTCTTTCCTTCCCCCCCCTCTCCTCCTCCATCCCTTCTCTGTCCCTTGCCATCTGTCCGGGCCTCCGTTCCCTATCTCCATCTTTGTATATATAGATATGTATTTGGGATTTCTATTTTTGCAGGCAAGAGTGTTTTGATATCCTGGTTGGTCTTGTCCCGTCGTTTGGCCTGTGAAGTTCGGGGCGGTGCTTGTATGTGGGGCTTGTCATCCATAATCTTGTTGCCCCCTGTTTGTTATATTGGCTGTTCCCTTCCTCTTTTGTTTGCCTCTTTGCCGTTTGGCTGTTTGCAAGTGGGTCGATATGCCCTACGGGGGTGGGGACAGCCGCCGCTCAACCACATCCACGCGGGCGGCCTTGTACGCAAGAGGTTCTGAACAGGGGGAGTTGTACGTAAGAAGATAAAAAATGAATTGATACCTTTTTTGTTTTTTTTTCGTTTTTGCGCTCTCAAACTCTGTGAAGATATATATCGTCACAAGCATATCAGAGCGCAAAAGCGAAAAAAGGGAAAAAGAAGGAAAGAAGGAAAACAGGAAAAAATAAAATTCATGATTTAATCTTCTTCCTTTTAACTCCCCCTGTTCAGAACAATCTTGCGTACAAGGCCGCCCACGATATAGGTTGATATCGTCATCCACGTGGCCGGCCTTGTACGTAAGAGGTGATGAACAGGCGGAGCTTTCCTTCCTTCTTTCCTTTTCCTTTGTTTTTTTCGCCTTTGCGCTCTGATACACGGTGTGACGATATATATATGTTTGTGACGATATATATATATATATCGTCACAAATATATATATATGAGGGTTCGGCCTCCTGATGAGTCGGTGAAACTCCGACGAAACAGTTTGTCACAGCCCCTCGTTTGTTGTCCTCTTCTCCCTCTCTGCCTACGGTTT